TACTATAACTGCGTTTTTTCCTATACATAAATACACATGATAAAGTATAGTTTATAGGCCAGGTGTGGTGACACATGCCTGTAATCCCAGCACTCAGGAGGTTGAGGCAGGAGGATTGTTGCGAGTTCAAGACCAGCCTGGGCTACAAAGTGAGCTCAAGGCTAGCCTGAACTGCATAGGGAGACCCTGTCTCCAAAAAAAAACCCCCCCAAACCAAAAAAGTATACCTTATAAATTAGACACAGTGAAAAACTAATGATAATAACTAACAATAAAATAGGACAATTATAAAAAATATGCTTATATTTTAAGAAATCTACCAGCACCACTACTCTTGCAATTTGGGGCTATCATTAAATAAAATAAGAGTGACTTGAATGCAGGCACTGTCATGCTATGGCAGCTGAGCTCTTGACCTGAAGGACTACTGAGTGATTAAGAGGTGACTAGTGCATACAGTGTGGAAATGCTGAATAAAAGCAGTGATTCGTGTCCAGTCATGATTGAGAGGGGTGATATGAGAGTTCATGGTATTACTCAGAATGTCTTATAAGTTAAAGCATGTTAATTTTTATTTCTGAATTTTTCCATTCAATATTTTCAGTACTGAGTTGACTTGAATTGACTGCATATAACTGAAACTGTGCAACGTCAAATAGTAGATAAGTGGGGACCGCCGTCTGTGAGGAGAAGGAAGGCAACTTCTTGGTAAGAAATAGCACAAGGAAAAGTATACAAAGGTGAAAGAGAAGCTCAGCGTCTTGGGAATATGCAGGTAGGGCTGGGAGGTAAATAGACAAATGGAATTAAAATTGGGGGTTGAGAGGTGGCAAAGAGAGGATGCAAACCCTAGAAATTTGAAAATGCTAAGTTATTCAGACCCTTCTCGGAAGGCTGTCTGCTGTTCACTGGTTGATTTCTTGTGTAAGGATTCAGGCAGAATAGAGATTACCACTCAACCGTACCACGTGTAGAAACTATGTTACTTAGTGCTTCAACTTTTTTGGATCTCAGTTTCCTTGTCATATAATGAAGTTTATATTTGACAAACAGAGTTGTGAGGGCTGCCTGGAGTAATCCTTCACTGTGATCCATTCAAGGGAGCCCCTGTCGTGCACAAGGTCATTTCCTCTGCGACGGGTGGGGCATGGAGGCTGTGTTGAGAGTAGGATGTCAGCAAGGAGATGGATGTGGGATTTGGGGAATATTAATTTTGGGATGGCATGTAGTATGAACTGAAGAAATGCGTGCCCGAGTGTGTGTGTGTGCGCGTGCTCATGTGTGCGCGCATGTGTGTGCGCATGTGTGTGTGCACGCATGTGTGTGTGTGTGCGTGTGTGTGTGTGCTCGCGCGTGCTGCAGTAAGAGAAATAGACCATGTGAGAACACGGAGACTTGAGCTAGCCGTGCTACAGGCAGTGATGACGTGCATATCAGAAGGAAAGAATGGAGGCATCTTGAGCAGAGAAAGCTAAATGTAGCTATTGAAACTCAGAGGAAACAATCCAGGATAAGGAAGCATCAAACTAGTAGAACAAACTACTAAGGAAAAACCTGTAATAAACAGTTGTTTTTAGCATTGCTTTGTTTTTCTTTGTCTGCTCAGCACCCTATTCAACTCTTTCCTTTGGGTTAGTGACTATCTTTTCCCTTTGGTTACATGCCTTTTAGCTGGTAAGTCAGAATTCTTAATTTTCTTAGCACCAGTAATGGTTCTGGAGATGAACATTTTATATGACTAAACCCGTCAGAATCTTTCTGCATGATTTTTCTATCTGAAGATAAACCCTCTTGGCTTCTTTACATACAGAAGCTAGAAGGTTATCAATCAGGCGAAAGGCGGTGGCAGAAGTGTGTGAGGTCGAATAGAGCCCACAAGGGACTATGTGGAGAAGAACCAGAAAGACAGAGACCCGGGGATCTGAGATTACTTTTAGTTCCTAAGACCTGCAGAGTTGCACTGATTTCTGCTGGACATCTTTTTTTTTTTTTTTTTGGTACCAGGGATAGAACTCAGGACCTTGCACTAGCCAGGCAGGCGCTTATGCCACTGAGCTCTATCCCCAGCCCCAGACATCTTTTTAAATTTCTGTGAGCTAATTACTATCCTGATAAATTCCTTTCCATTCAAGAATGCTGTGTAACAGAAACACTAATAGATCTGACATTATAACTTTTTCACAAAAGTAAAGATTTTCTGCAGACCAAAATATGATGAATAAAATTAATCCACTAAACTGGGAAACACTTGTAGCAAATGCAATATCACAGGGTAACTATCCTTATTGCACAGGGAAAGTTTATATATCAGTAAGAAAATGTTAATAGTATAAGAAAAATGACCAGAGGCCATGAAGGAACCATTTGCAGGAAAAGAAGTACATAGTCAATAAAATAAGAGTCTGCTTCAGTAACAAATATATATAAAACTAATAAAATAGGGTACAGTATTTCACTAATCAGATTGCACAGGTGAAAAAGAGGGTAATAATGTTTGGGCGGAGAATGGAGAACAGAACAGAGGAAGTGTGCTTGAAGGAAGTAGAGGGTACCACGAAAATCTATAGCAGCTGCTTCACTGTATTCTCCCTGTAGCCCAGCCTGTTGAATAGTCAGCCCTAAATACATCCATCACAGTATTATTTGGAATCCTTTCTGAGTGGTGATGGGCGGTATAGAGGCACTTCTAATGCTTCCTTTATATTTTTCAAAGCTTTCAAAATAATTATGTACACTTTTATAATGAGAAAAGAACAAACTAAAAGACAAAATAAAAAAATTAAAATTAAATGACAAGACAGAACAACAACAAAAACATATATAAGGGTATAGAGGAAAGGACTCCAGAAAAATAGAGAAGAATCAAGATGAAGATTTTAACAGGGGGAAGTGTGGCGGTACATGCTACAATCCTAGTACAGTTCTCGGAAGGCTGATCATTACAAGTTCGGTCATTACCGAGTTTGAGGATGATCATAAAGAGTTCGAGGCCAGCCTGGATTACAGAGTGAGACCCTGGTTTAAGAAACAAACAAATTAGGTCGGGCCTGGTGGCTCATGCCTGTAATCCCAGCACTTGGGAGGCTGAGGCAGGAGGACCACTGTGCGTTCGAGGCCAGCCTGTGCTACAAAGTGGGTTCAAGGCCAGTCTGAAGTGCACAGTGAAACCATCTCAAAAAAAAAAAAAAAAAAAAAAAAAAAAAAAAAAGAAAAGAAACAAACAAATTAGAAGGGAACTGAATTGTCTCCTGTTTTTGTGTAATGAGCCAGACATAGCTGTATTTCTGAGGAAATGCCTTTTGTCTTCCTCCTCCTTCATTTTCATGTGCTCCTACACCAATGCTGACTTGTCACCTCCCACGCAGAAGACCGCAGTGACCTCATAATTGATATATTTTCCTCCTATTCAGCACCACACCACTGACAGGGCCGTCTTCTCAAAACACACTCTCCTGTCTGTTCATCTGTCCTCAGTTGTTTCAAAATAACTCCCAGCTTGGGTCAGGACAGTTTTCTTTTGTCTCTTACAAGGCCAAGGTTAACTCTTCTTGGGCTCTTGCTCATTTTCAACACCTCAAAGTAACTTTTAGTCTATTCAAGTTGTTACCATTGCCTGAAACTCCTCTGGGTCCCTGCCTTCTCTCCCTTCTCTCATTTGAGAGCAATAAGCTGTTGGTTTGGTAGTTGGTTACATGTTAAATAGAGTTCTCTTCTTTCTCCTGTGGCAAGAATTTTATACTGCACTAATAATTGGTATATCTTCATGTAACATACTGTATTAGTCAGTACATAACATCAGTAAAGTACTACTGAACTGATTGTATCTAAACAATTATCATGGACTTATTTATTTATTTATTTATTGTCTTTTTGAGACAGGGTCTTGCTATGCAGTTCAGGCTGGCCTTGAGCTCACTTTGTAGCCCAGGCTGGTCTCAAACTTGCAACAATCCTCTTGCCTCAGCCTCCAGAGTGCTGGGATCCCAGGTGTATGCCACCACGCCTGGCTTCATGGACCTATTTAATCTGACAATTCATTATAGAAGCTACAAGATGCTGGAAGTTAAATCAGACCATCGGTTCTTTTCCTGAATCTGGTAAAGTTTCTAAATCATCTTTATTCTTTTTTTCCACTTCAGACTATGTGACCATGTGAAAATAATTTGACATCATATCTTAAACAGAATATGACAGTAGACTTAGATAAAACCTGCCACTTAAATTCATGTGTATTTATCTGCAGAAAAAGAAACATTTTCAGATTACTATGATCATTTTAAAAATTACTTTTGAATCTCCAAACAAGGGTTATTAAAAATATAGAAAAGTTTTTCACATCTCTTACTCTACCACCTAAGGAAACATTTTTTAATCTTTCTGAATAGAATCAAAAAAATAAAACAGAGGCACATGCTCTTTTGCACATTTAATTTTTAAAAATATGTAAGTAAATTTAGCCTGATTCTGCATACACCAGATATCAATTAAAGTGCAAATAAGAAATTAAACACAGAAATCAAGGGTTTCCTCCAGTCTACAAAAGGGCCACATCTAATAGAATTGACAAACACTGAATATTTCTGTGAGTTGCATATTTCGGAAGTCTATGATTTAGTATATTGACTTGGTTTGACCTCATTAAGGACAGTACTGATCACAGAACTAGTGTAGCTTCAGTCTAAAAGGACTTTTAAAAAACTATTTGACTGCTGTAGAAACGCACCGATAGGACTGACAAGTTTTTTAACTCTCAGTCCTCTTCTACTGAAACCTCTGACTCTAGTGCTATCTGTGGCAGCAAGGCTTGGGTGTAGGCTGTCTGACCTCATGGTCTCTGTTTGGGGCTGAAGCCTAGCCTGAGTTTCTGGAGGGTCCTGACATTCAGAGACAGCTAAGCTCTTCCACCTGTCTCTTTTCTCTCCACAGCTTATTTCATCTCCGGGAGCCATGCTCTCCTCATTTCCCCATTCTTTCTTAAGAAACAGTACTCTGCAGGATCAGGCATTTCCCTACCATTGGGCTGGCGCTGCTGTGGCGGTGAGAGCCAGGCTGTTCTGCTGGTGGTAGTGGCAGAGGTATGTTCCCAGCTGGAACTCAAAACTCACTTCCCCATGGAAACGGTGGTGTACTGTTAGGTACATTCTATAATTTGTTTAGAACTCCAGATGAACTATGTGACTCAAATGGGCTTCTGTTAGTTCTCCTGATGTGTATCCACCCGTTCTTATGTAGTGTCCTTAGGAAAATGGTTCTGAGTTCCTAACAATCATCCGTACATTATCTTTACACAGAGGAAGCCTCAGTGACGTAGACCTAAATTGTTTGTCTGCTGTGGACCCCACTGAGAGGCTGTGCTCACCCTGTACCCCACATCGCAAGGCTCCTGAGCTGTGAGGGAAGTCAGGTCTCCTAGAGTGAGCACCCCCAAAAGGAAATGACAGGCACGAGGGGTGAGTATGCACAGGTAGGTGCAAGATCTTGGTCGGGCAGGATGTTCAGTGTCGGCAAGGGTGAAGGTTTCTATGAGGCCTTTGTCCCAGCTCCGAAAGATTTTAAGTGTTACAATGTTTGTTTCAATAAACTTGTGCCAGAGCCATTGGCAGGAGCTTTATAATCAAAAGTAAAGAGCTGTATCTTTAGGGTTCTCTAGAAAATGGAGACCAAGAGGCCAAGGGTGGAGTTATCGTTTAACTCAAAAGAGAGCACAGTGGGGTGGGTGCACGCGTGTGTGCGTGTGTGCTTGTGTGTATATGTGTGTGTTCATCACTTTTTGATTCCTGAAGCTTTCATTTCTGGAATTGCTCAAAGTAGCAGTGGAAGGTGTAGCTATCTTTCTTCTTAGATTTCAAAACTGCCAGTGGACATGTTCCTTGCCATTTGGAGAGTCTTGAAGATGAGCTCCAACCCTGTTCAGTTAGAACGGAATTAATGTGCCCTTGGAGGCAGGAGGGAGGAGAGGTGAAGGGAAAATGAAAAGATTTAAAATGTAGTACATGCCTGTACCAATTCCCATGATGAGTGTAATCTTTATGTACTACAAACATGTACTAATAAAAAAAAATTAAAAAGCAACTTTATGAAGCAACGAGTAAAGCAGAAGTCACTGCAAGGTGGATGAGAGAATGGTAGTGACCACTTGCAAATCTGTATGGGGTCCTTTAGGATAAGGAAAGAGGTTCAGAGGACCTGTGTTCCAGAGAATGAGAAGGAGAGATCTCCAGATTTATCCAGTAATTACTGTTTGACAGTTCATCTCAATTGTCAGCCTGGCTGGATTAGGAGACTCCTGGAGAGCTGATTTGATCATGGGAGTACTATACTCATAAGTGGATTAATTCACTGATAGTCACAGCTGAATTTTCTGTTATGAGGTAGTTTTCCTCTGCCTTGCCCTTCCACCAAAGTGTTCCTGCCTAAAGCCAACCCGTCATGGGCTGAAACTTGTGAGCCATAATAAACTTCTTCTCCCTTAAATTGTTGTGGGTGTCAGTTATTTTCTCCCAGTGACAGGAAAGCAGACCTATACATTGTTCTTGTCACCATTTTGATGGTTTCCTAAGGAAAAGTGGCTGCTTTTTTATATCCCTTGATGCTTCTAACATGCAGGCCTGAGCCATCAATAATTGTTACTGACAGCCAGAACAAATAAAATGAAATTAAATATAGTTAGCATATGATAAAGCTAGCTGGGTGTGGTGGCCATGCCTGTAATCCCGGCTATTCAGGAGGCTAAGGCAAGGTCTCAAGTTTGAGCACAGCCTAGGCAATTTAGCAAGAGTAAAGGGGCTTAAGACAGCTCAATGTGAAAACCCTGGGTTCAATTCCCCGTACTAGCAAAAAAATTAGTATCTGATAAAACTGAATAAGCATGCTGAAGTCTAGACCACAGGCAAGTAGTATTAATGTGGGAATACTGAAGACACAGTAGGACTGAAGTCTGATTTGAGCTTTTGTCGATCATTATAGTTGCTGAATGTCTGAATATTATTTACTTTTAGGGAAAGTGAATATAACTATGAAGAGAAACCAGTTGTTATTATGGTAGTTTTAAATATCCAGCAGAGGGGCTGGGGATTTAGCTCAGCGGCACAGCACCTGCCTGGCAAGTGCAAGGTCGTGAGTTCGATTCCTGGTACCGGAAGAAAAAAGTGTCCAGCAGAAACCAAATGGAGAGCTAGACTGATGTGGGGGAGGGGGAGACAGACAGACAGAAGGCAGGATGGAGAGCAAGTTCTGGTGCTTCAAAATTTTGACTTGAAGTCTCTCTGTGTTTCCATCATTTGGTTCTATGAAATTATGAAGTCACTTAAGATAATTTGATATAGGTTTCCATAAATTGCAGCCAGAGACCCGATTCACAAAATGTTTAACATTAGATCATCACTTTTTCCAAGGGACAAGGTCTCCTATATCCTGATCAATGGTACTACTCTCCACCTGGTTCTCCACCTGGTGGTTTAAGCTACCATTACAAAATATCCTGGACTGGTAGCTTAAATGACAGGAATTAATCTATTTTCCTTCCTTCCTTCTTTCCTTCCTTCCTTCCTTCCTTCCTTCCTTCCTTCCTTCCTTCCTTCCTTCCTTCCTCCCTCCCTTTTCTTTCTTTCTTTCTTTCTTTCTTTCTTTCTTTCTTTCTTTCTTTCTTTCTTTCTTTCTTTCTTTCTTTCTTCCTTCCTTCCTTCCTTCCTTCCTTCCTTTCTTTCTTCCTTTCTTTTTTCTTTTTCTTTCTTTCTCTTTTTCTCACTCTCTGTCTGACTCTGCCTCTCCTCTCTTCCCTCCTGCTCTCTTCCTCCTCCTCTCTCTGCTCCTTCTTCTCCTTCTTCCTTTTCCACTTCCTCTTCCTCTTCTCCTTCCCCCTCTCCTCCTCCTCCTCTCTCCCTCTCTCTCTCCCTCTGGGAATTGAAACAAGGGACTGTGTGCATGCTTTGGCAAATGCCCGACCACTGAGCAATAACCTAAGTCTAAAAATTTATTTCTTATGGCTGTAGAATCTGAAAAGTCCAAGGCCAAATTGCTGGACAAGTCTGTCCCCTGTGAGAGCCCTGTTCCTGGCTTACAGATAACAGCTTCTCAGTTTTCTCAAGGTATGAGATGGAGGCACAAGGAAAGGGCAAACTGGTGTTTCTTCTTGTAGGCATTAATTCCATCATGAGGACTTCACCCTTAGGATTTCTTCTAAACCTAATTAACTTCCCAAAACCTCATCTCCATACATCATCACACTGGGAGTTAAAGCTTCAATATATGAAAATTAGGTGGGTAGGGGAGTATACAGTTCAGTTCATGGCATTCTCCAAGTCAAAAACCTGGGGATCATTCTAGAATCTTCCTTTCTCATCACCCTGACACAGTGATAATCACCAAGTCCTAATGTTTGATCCTAAATATCCCTTGAGTTTATATTCTTCTGCTCATTCCTGTTGTCACTCCCTGAGTAAGGTTCATCATTAACTCTTATTTATTTATTTATTTTTGTCTTTTTGAGACAGGGTCTTGCTATGCAGTTCAAGCTGGCCTTGAGCTTACTTTGTAGCCCAGGCTGGTCTCAAACTCGCAACGATCCTCCTGCCTCAGCCTCCCAAATGCTGAGATTACAGGTGTGTGCCACCATCCCTGGCGGTATTCATCATTAACTCTTGCCTGGGCTCTGTCATACCCTCTGCTTGGCCTCCTTCCAGTCTCATCTTTGTTAAACTCATCTTCTAGATAGTGCTAGAGGAGAATATCTGAAATGCAAACCTTGCTCTATTAGTACAATGACCAACTTTTCCAGGACCCAGTCCCACCCTCTTCAGTTTTTCATTTTTCATTTTATATCACATTGATTGATAAAGGCTTATTATTCCACATATAAACCAAGTTCAAACTCTTGTGTCAATAGCTGCAAAGGCTTTGATACTGAGGAAAGACATGGGCTGTTCCCGTTGACTTGGTCCTCAACACATTCTTCAATGCTTCATTTCAGAAAAAAAAAAAAAAAAACAAGCCCTCTTTTCATTCAAGGTGAAGTCTGGGCATGGTGGCGCATGCCTATGATCCCACCACTAGGGAGCCTGAGGCAGGAGGATCGCTGCAAGTTCAAGGCCAGCCTGAGCTACAAAGTGAGTTCAAGGCCAGCCTGAACTATATAGTGAAACCTTGTCTCAAAGAGACAAAAAAAAAAAAAAAAAAAAAAAGAAGAAGAAGCAGCCTATATTTCTTTAGGGTGTTACTTAATTCCCTCCCTTTGGACACCCACCCCCCTGCAGTAAAGCCCTACAAGAATCATTGATCCAGCCAGATTATTCTGTAACACATTTACCTATAAACCTTTTCCCTGATGGTTCCCCTGCCCCTGGTGGTTTATGGAGAGCTTTCTGCAACAGATCGCTGTACTTGTTTCCTGTCCCTTCAATTACACCTACTCAAAGGTATTCCAGTCCATGCTAATTTCTTGGTCTCCCAAGTTCTCATTGTTTGTGTTCTTATTATTTGTACAACACCTTTTTGGGTACATATTACATATTGCTTTATATTTGATGCTTCATGCATATGTCTTATCTCCACCACAAGTTTCCAGGCTCTGTAAGGATAACGCATGACACAGCCTCTGTATATGCCTAGCAGGCTGTCTTGTGTATGGTAGGTACTTGATGGATGTTTATAGATTTTCTTCTATTAGATTAATTCTCTTCCCTTATAGCAATAGCCCTACATTTTGTTGAATTTTAAATACATGGGTTTGGAGGTGACAAAGCCAGTAAATTTTAGCTTCCAAATGTCAAAGTTATTTGAGGTCAAAATTTTCAGTCCCCCAAAAGGGGATAGTCATTTCTGTGAGGTACCTAGCAACAGTCTTAGACTTTACTGAGCAAGTCCCAGGAGTCTGTAACTTTTGTGTCAATGAAAATTATAATTACTGAGCACAATTACAATGCTGTGGAAATCATAAATGTTATAATTCATGCATCTGTAAAATTGCCATTTCAGGGCTCCTGAAAGAGACAAGCTCAAGACAAAGGAGTATATAAAAACCTTGGAACCAGATTTCTGGCCACAATAAAAAAAGCTCCTTATGTAATACATTCTAGGATTATACTTCTTAATACTATTTACATATATTCTACCTCTTTTCTGAGCGTTCTTCCTTAAATTGCAGCTTATGAGCATAGGAACTCTTCTGATATTCACATCTTATTTTTCTGTGTTCAGGACTCTTTTCATGGCTTTATTATGATTTTGATGAGAATTTTAGTCAACACCCTGATCAACTTGATATATAAAACATTTTTCTTCTAAAGATCTTAGATAGCTTACATTTTACTTATTCTTCCCAAGAGTCATTCTTTCTGTTTTAAGTGACAAAATTCTTGGCTCTTGCGGAAAGGGAATTTATTGGCTCATCTAAGTTGAAAGTGTAGAACTAGATCAAGCGTCAGGCATAGGTGGAATTAGAACTCGGAAGATATCATAATAAATATTTGACGTCTCAGCCAGGCATGCTGGTGCACGCCTGTAATCCCTGCATCCTGGGAAGCTGAGGCAGGATGATGGCAAGTTCAGCCAAGCCTGGGCAATTTAGTGAGACCCTGTTTCAGAAAAATAAAATACAAATAAAAAGGAATGGGGATACAGCTCAGTGCAAAGACTTTGCAATCAGTCCCAGCACCACACAAACTGATCTCTTATCATCTTTCTCTTTTGCCTTTAGTCCTAACTTCACATGGTAGTGAGAGGATAACAACAATCCCAGGATCTGTCTCTTCAACTTTCAAGGCAGCAAGAATGGTACTCTCTTTCCTAGAAATCTCCGTCAATGCATTTTATTGGCCCTCAGATGTTATGTACCTATTCCCGAACCAGTCATCCTGGCTTTCGTGATTTACTTAAAATTGGTGGGGAGTCAGAGTAGGCATCACTAGAATCTCAAAAATTGATAGTGTGGGTGAATTAATATTACCTTTCCAGACATCCACTTACCAAACTCTCAGAAACAATCAGCCTTGTTGACCACACCCTCTTTTCATATATTTCCTTTTTTTTTTTTTTTTTTTTTTTTTGTTTTTTTTTGGTTTTTCTCCGGTACCGGGAACTGAACTCACGACCTTGCGCTTGCCAGGCAGGCGCTTTTTGCCGCTGAGCTAAATCCCCAGCCCCTTCCTTGTTTTTTATGACACTTCAGACTCTCCCCTCTTGGCTCCAGCTGTTAGCTCCTTTGTCTGGTCATTAACTCTTTCAGTCTCTCAAGGTGAGGTGTTAACTAATCTTCCTGTGCTCCCTTCTAAGCAATTCATTCATAACCAAGACTTTAATGACTAAAAACCAAGATTTGAGACTTTTTTTCAAAACTAGAGGCAATCCTTATACTTTCTACCTCTTTGTCCAATTGCCCATTTGAATTTTCTACTTGCTTCTCTTAAAACCACTTCAAACTCACTGTGTTTAAAACCACATCTCCTGTCCCTCCAAGAAACCTGCTGTGAGTACACTGTTTCTTATTGCAGTGAAGTGTAGTTCTAGTGATCCAGTTCAGCAAGACAAAAATGTGAGCATCATCTTCACCCCCTCACTGTTCAAGTGATTACTAAGATCTACCAACTTTCAATATTTCTCAAATTCTCCCAATTCTTTTTACATTTATAACCATGTCCTTAGTCCAAGCCATTTTCTTCAATCATCTAACTGTACATTTTTTCAACTCATTTTAAGTGTGTTTGTAATTTTTTCAATCTTGTCTTGGTCAGGGTTTACTAGAGGAACAGATATAATACAAGATAAACAAATGTACAAGGAATTACAAGTTTGGCTTACAATGGTCAGCTACAGAGTTGGATGAGGAAGCGTGCAGAGGGTGTCTGCACGCTGGAGATTGAAGAGCCCAGCCCCGGGCCTGGAGCTCGCTGCAGTGTCCTTGCAAGTCCGTATCAAAAGGATGCTGGGTCTGCGACGGAATGCTGAAGAATATACGCTGAAGGCCAGAGAGCCAACACCAGAAGGCTGAAGAGTCCCAGATGGAAGCCCAACAGTCTGCACCAGAAGCCAGGAGACGACCGAGCTGAAGGCGAAGACCGGAGCTCCTCTGAAGAACCAGCAGCCAGTCCTTCCTCAATTCCTTTTTTATATAGTCTACCCGCTCTGGGGAGGTGGGGGTGGTTCTCCACACCCACACCCTCTGCAGGCCTGCCTCTTGCACAGGCTCAGGATGAATACAAAGTAAGCACCCTGGACCCCTTCTGAGTTGCATAGTTAACCTTCTAAACTTCTCAAATTAACACAATAAACAACATCCCAGAAGGGTAACGGCATGTCCTTTTCACCCCAAGAGGCAAACTGCTGAGTCTCTTAGCCAAACCTCTAGATTCCCCAAGTTGACACAATGTATCAACCATAACAAATCTATTTTTCATTTTGGAGTTAAAATACAATTTTTCAAAATATAAATCCAGGGCTGAGGATATAGCTCAGTGGCATAAGCACCTGCCTGGCAAGCTTGAGGTCTAGAGTTCGGTTTTTGGTACCAAAACAAAACAAAAAAAATATATATGTATATAAATCCAATGACTTTTCATTGGGTGTAAGATACAGAAAAAAGTACTTACTGTGGCCTACACAACATTATTGCACTCCATACTTACTACCCCACCATCATCATAACCGTCCTATTGCCTCATTGTCCTTTGCAATCCATCCTACTGGCCTTTGTCCACTTTCTTAACACACTGTGACAGATAGAATAATGCTCACCTTTACATATGTCTAAATCTTACTCACCAAAACTATGGAATATGTTATCTTACATAGTGAAAGGGAATTTGCAGATGTGATTCAGTTAGGGACTTTGAGATGGGATTCCTGGATGATCCTAGATTAGTCCGCCAGGCCAAATGCAATCACCTAGGTCCTTGTAAGTGGCAAGCAAAAGGGTCAAAGGAAGATAAGGAAATGTGATGATGCAAGGAAGAATCTGTGATCCAAGGAATGCAGAACCTTCTAATGGCAAGAAAAGGAAGGGAAATGGATCCTTGCAGAGCTTCTGGAAGGAATGTATCAATGACAAAACCTCAATTTTAGGACTTCAGAACTGTAAGATTGCCGGGCATGGTGGTGCACGCCTGTAATCCCAGCACTTGGGAGGCTGAGGCAGGAGGATCGTTATGAGTTTGAGGCCAGCCTGGGCTACAAAGTGAGCTCAAGGCCAGCCTGAACCTAATAGTGAGA